GGACTGGAGCAATGGAGCATTGGACTGGAGCAATGGAGCATTGGACTGGAGCAATGGAGCATTGGACTGGAGCAATGTTCCAGTAGGTCATTGGAGTACAATGTGTCAAGGCTGAATGGTGTCATATTCCTGTCGTCAAAAATGTGTCATAAAATATATATCACGACACTGACGACGGTGTCGCATTTCTGTCGTCACGACACATGACGACGGTGTCAGATTTCTGTCGTCATAACACATATCCGAGTGGAAATAACCTAGACTAAGTGGAAATGAACATGTAGTAGTAGCCTCATTACTCACAAAGTTATATTACAGAGAATGACATTAGACAAAATGTGATCAACTCTGCTTTGGAAACAATATACAAACAGATGTTAATGTAAAACATGATTTTGCATATATCATTAAGATTCACAGGCTGAACTGAAAATTTGTTATGCCATGTAATGCTACGCTATAAATGGTGTCATATTCTCTCCTAAATCTCCGACGGTGCAGTAACACCAGCGCATGATACAAGCAGTGTCACAGCAGTAATACGGCAGCACTGTAGCAGCGCTGCTGAGAATATTCGATAGATGATTAGGAATAGCTGCTAAAAATAGATCAATTAGTCCGCTCGAAAGATATATACTGTAAGTAGCGTAGATTTCAGTTAAATAGATGGTCAGTCAATAAGTGTATGTTTAGAATGTTTCGATTCCTTTATCGTAAATAAATGAGCAGTTCTTTATACTCTGAAATACATTGTTAATGATTCATTCCCTGGTAACTTATCGGTATAGCTGAGAAACCGCTAATCTATATCGGTGAAGAATAATCACCTCTTATTCGAGTGGCAAATTACGATAATTAATTGATACGTAGATGCGCATTATTATAATTAAAATACTATTGTACCCAGAATTTGTTTTGTCCCCCGCCATACGTTGTCAGTGACGCGTCAAATTTTGCATCACATTTCTAGTTAAAATTGAAACATGTTTCTTTCTCAACTATGCTTGGTAATTGCAATAGAGCATTTTTCGTTATTCAATAAGTACAACTTTATTGCTGAGCATTTCAAGATAGTTACGGTATTACGCAAATTTATGATGGATTAGTAATGAGACCATTCAGGATTTCTTAATAAGTCCATCAAGTTTCATGTTTATTGCAAATACGCCACATTTGGGCATTTCACGTGCAAGCAGACTTTATCAAGTTATCGATAGTGACTTGTTCTGAAGAAAATGAGCATCAGAATGTCGCACAGCGGAAAGTCCCGATGACTAATATTTATTATTATTATTATTATTATTATTATACAACAAACCTATACTCAAACCCGTCTTTCACCTCGATCGAGAAGCCTTATTAATGCCTCACAAACCAATTACGTATCTTTAATCCCTGAAATTAGGGCTGGGCGTTATTTTTGTTACGATTACATCGTTTGTTCTATATGTGGGTATTGTATAACTAAAACAAATGATGACACAGCAGTTATTACAAATAGTGCTACTAATCACACATACTGTCAGAATGAAATAGTGAAGTCGGGGCAAAGTGAACGGTTGATTTGAACACAATATTGACATGATTAATGATGTCACACTTTCAAACCACCCACATACGCACGTTAATAATTAGGCTCGTTGTGTAGCAACCCGAGCTGTTATTACACTTTCCCAAATTATAATTTTGTAAAATTCAGCCAATGCTATGCTAATACGGATTGTAGGTTACGTCTTATTATTATTCATTCTTTAAAATGTCCCCTTTCTGGTAAGCAGATCTGCGCAATCAATTATTATATGAATTAATTAAATTATAATAACGTAACGAGAAGAAGATAAGATAGCGATAGTCTCCCGCTTTCTAAAACAGTAAGAACTGCTTACTTTAAAGATCTGGTACGTCATTCTCTCATCGTGGCTTGTAATTGTTTGTATGCAGACTAGCTATATACTCAAATTCCCCACCCCCCAGAAATAAAATTCAGTGACTTTGCACTTACCCGCTGTCAAATGGCTGAGAGTCACCTTTTGTCTCTCCCGTGTCAAGTTTACGATTAAAGATTCGATATACCTTAAATTAAAATTTTGAATGCATGGTAAAGATCCAGCACTTTAATGCATTTGCGACATCATTACTAAAGAACAATCAATTTACCAATACTCACCCCACCTCTTTTATACCAGTATTCGGCAACCCAACGCACGGCTTCTTTCCTCCAACCACACCCGCCAGTCTACCCTAACCTCCAACAAAATGCCAACAACTCTACAACAATGCAAGCGTCCTCGACCCGCAACACGCTTCCTCCAATTAGCATCCCTCCTCCCCAACCAGCGTCTCTTCAATCGCAAGCAACACTCCCTCAATCCTCTCCAGATTCCTCTTCAAAGACCACCCGCTCTCGTTGGACTCCCGAAGAAGACAACTTGCTTCGTCTGACTGTAACAATCTTTGGCGATCGTCCTGAATGCTGGGCCAAAATTGCTGCCTTTATACCCGAGCGTAGTAACAAAGACTGTCGCAAACGTTGGTTTCACTCGCTAGATCCAACACTTCGCAAGGGTCCTTGGACTACCGAAGAAGACGAAATTCTTCGTAAAAACGTCGAGCGATATCCCAACTCTTGGAGCAAAATCGCCAAAAGCATTCCAGGCAGGACCGACGATCAATGCGCAAAGAGGTGGAGAGAGAGCTTGGATCCGATGATTGATCGACGCGAATGGTCTTCAGAAGAAGATAAATTACTAATAGAAAAGTATGAACTTTTTGGTGGCCAATGGCAAGAAATAAGCAAGTACTTTCCTGGTAGACCGGGACTACATTGTCGAAATAGATGGAGAAAGTTACAGAGAAGGTTGGTGCGACAGCAAATAAGAGTCAAGAATTTTAAAGGTGTCAACATAAACAGGAAGGGATCCAAGAATTCTGAAGAGAATGATATAAACGATGAAGATACCGGCGTACAGTCATCTTCTTCATCAACTATCTCCACGTCCATTATCGATAGCACCGCTCTCACTCCTTCACCCACGACTGCTACCACCACCGGCAATCTCACTCCAATCATTTCTCCACAACTTTCTTCACTTCATCAGCATTTTGCTCCCCACACTTCATCTCTTCCTTCTCCTTCTTCTCTTCCTCCGTCTCAACCTTTGCCACCAATAACAATCGACGTTGACATGCAAATGCAATTGAGTTTACTCGGTGTTCAAATTTCGATTTCGGAAAACGATCAGTTAGACCAATCAGCATCCGCTGCGATGAACATTGATCGAGAGGAAGAAAGAGGGGGAGTAAATCAGGAAGAGCAAGACAGGCAACGCAGACAAATATCTCAACAAGCACGGCAACAAAATCAAATACAACACCACGACCACATTGACAATCACCCTCATATTAATAACCAGCTTTCTCGACCTCCCCAACAAGCCTCGGCCTCAAGGAATCTTAGCATAGCGGCGTTAATATCTCCAGCAAATGATCTTGGGTTCGTAATTAGAGACCCGTTGCATGACTCGCTAAATCAGACTGAAGTTATTGGCGAAGACGGTGGGTCAGAGAGTACGGGAAGTGATGCATGGAGGATGGGTGGGGTCGTAGATAGAGGTCCGGACTTGAATAGCAATGCAGAATTAAGAAACGCAAGCGCGTATGGACAGGAGGCACAAATGGAAGGTACATGGGGGGTTGAAGAAGTTCGACAAGTTAATGAGGGCTTGTTACAACAACAACGATCGCAGCGACAACAACAACAACAACAACAACAACAACAGCAGCAGCAGCAGCAGCAACAACAACAACAGCAGCAGCAGCAACAGCAGCAACAACAACATCAACAACATCAACAACATCAGCAACAGCAGCAACAGCAGCATCAACGGCAACAGCAACAGCAACAGCAACAAAGAGTTTATCATCGACAACCACAAAGATCTTTTACTACGCCCATGTCAGCAATCACTCACGTCCCATCCACAACGGTTCGTCAATTTCCAATAGTCTCACTACAATCCATATCAAATTACCTTGCTAGTAACCCGAATGCTCATCGAGCAGGCATTCACGCGAGTATTCAAACGAGTCAGTCTGCCATGGTTTCTGGAACTGCTAGAGACATTATTCCTAATAATGAAGCCATCCGCAAAAGTAGTAGCGAAAGATCGACAATACAGTCAGTTAGGAACCTGATTGATCATAATTTGACATTCCAGGAAGACACAGGTTTAGTAGCGGTTGATGGGTCTACAGAAATGTCAACCGACGTAACATCAACGTTACGGGCTTTTACGACCACTACGACAAATGAAACGATGACGGCTCCCGCCAATTCAATCTCACCCCCAATTTCAATCTCACCCCCAATCTCAATCTCACCCCCAATCTCAATCTCACCTTCAATCTCACCTTCAATCTCAAGCTCGGGCTCAAGCTCAAAATCAAAATCAAAATCAAAATCAAACTCAAAATCAAAAAGCTCGAGCTCGAGTTCAATCTCGCCTTTGATTTTAAACTCAACTTCAACATCTTGGGCTTCGGCTTCGGCTTCGGCTTCGGCTTCAGCTTCAAACATCGCGATGCCATATGGCTGTAACATTCCCTCCTGTAATGCTTTATTTTCATCTCCCAATACACTTTTTTATCATATCAGATCCACACATATAATCTTTTGCGACTCAAACCCAAATCACAAACCATACAAGTGTGGTATTGCTAGCTGTGAAAAGACATACAAAAACATAAACGGGTTGCATTATCATGTTACAAGGGCAAAGTCAAAAAATTCAGAGCATTGTGGCAAATTGCGAAAAAATAAAAATGTATCGGATGAAGTGAGTGTGGACGAAGAGGGTGGAAAAGGGGGAAATATGGAAGAAGATGAGGAAAGGCCTTATAAGTGTACGTATCCTGGATGTACAAAAAGGTATAGGAATGTTAATGGACTACAGTATCATTCGAGAAATGGACACAAAGAAGAGGATAATCGCGAAGTTGGTGGTAACGGTGATGGTGACGGTGATAATGATGATGATGGTAGTGGTAATAATAAAGACGGCGAAAGTAATCCGGATAGTAATCTTGATCGGAATACTGCTAGTAATGGTAACAAAGTTTCTAAAATATCTTATCCAACTACGCTTACAACCATTGCAACATCTTCGCCCACCATACCTTCAAGCTCACGGCGCTCTCTGACGACAATATCATTGTACGATATAATCCAACAAGACCTTCCTCCTACTCCTCATGATGCTACTACCATTATTGCTCAACATTCCAATTCACATTCTAATCATGCTCACAACGGTCATTCAATATTCTCTCTTTACAGTTGCGATGTAAATGGGTGTGGTGGGAGATTTAACAATCGGAGCGAGCTATGTAATCATACTCGCCATGTACATCCACATTTAGATGTTATTTTGAATAATAGTATTAATGCAGCATTGACGTCTGGGGAAAATGTGATGGGTGATGGTTTTTGGAAGTGTAGTTAAAAAAGTATAATTATTAGAAGGGCTAGGCAAAAATGAAGGGAAAAAAAACACAGGGAGTTTGGCGTGGGGATGGTTATCATAAAAAACTCGAAAATATGCCTCGAATTAGAGCTATGCAAAAATAAAATAAAATGGTTTATTATTTATTCATTTTTATAAACAAGTCACTTTGATGTGGTTGTCCATGTATTCATTTAGTCGCATAACATCTCACCATTTAGTCGCATAACATCTCACGTTTCAGTCGACTTTATTTAATTAAACATCATCCAAGCTCTAAATACCCTTTCATGTCACAGCTTCACACAGAGCCTCACATTCCAACACCTCGTATTAATTTTTACAACATTCTGTCTACGCCTTGGTTTCATCCTCGTCGAGACCAAGCATGGCAGCTTGTTTCTCAGCCTTTCGCTGAGAACGACGTTCACGTGCTGCCTTAGCTTTCTGGCGATGAGCTTCGGCTTGGTCGCTAATAAAGAGAAGAGAAGCAAGCCATTAAAAAAAATTCGCAGTCTACGGTATAGCCTGCACTGCAATATCAATACATTTCCTACTTACGCAAGCATCTTAGTACGCTGCTTCTCTGCTTTAGCCTTGTGAATGTAATCCATAAGAACACGCTTGTTCTTGAATACGTTACCCTTGGATTTCATGTAAAGCTGATGATATCTAGAATAAGGGAGGGTAAATTAACGATAAAACGAAAAATAGAATCAATATAGTTATGGCTGTTTCCCCTTTATTTTTTTAATCAACTTGCCCGCCCCACATGTCCCTGCCCGCCCCGCACATCTCTCCACCCAACTATCACTTACAAATGCTTATCGATCTTTTTGGCTTCACGGTACTTTCTCAACAACCGTCTCAAAACTCTTTGCCGTCTCATCCACAAGACTGCATGAGGCATACGTGCATTCGCTGTACCCTTTCTCTTACCAGGACCAGTGTGGCGACCCTTGCGTTTGGCTTCGAGTTTTTCCCGGACTCGGAATCGAGAATGGATTACTTGGGGTTTCTTGATTATCAGGCCATCTTTTATTAGTTTGCGGATGTTTTGGCCTGAAGAGGAAAGAGGTCATTGGACAATTGCAGTGTGTCGATTTGGGTTAGCAAAAAAGAATTGGCAAAGAGATGGTGGTAATGAATTGATCTTGCAATATGAAATACTGTCCATCCTGTAGCAATAAAGACTCTACCATTTCTAATCCTACCCCCCACCACCACTCTTTAGCAAAGTCATTTAACACATGCAGACCATTTTTTGATCCATTCTCCTAAATCTCTAAATTCTCTCCAACCCCATAAACTCACGAGAATTAGCAGCTGCAATATCGGAAACTTCATTTGGATCTAGCCAAACTTTTCTCTGGCCGCAATCGAGCACGCTGGCAGCAAGCCGCTTCTGACTCCTCAGATTCACCCTGTTTTAACAGAGAATGTTGTTATTCAATATGTTGGAATTGTCCGCCGAGATAATTGAGTCGGATTATACGAATCATTGATCATTATTATGCCAGCCATTCTGCAAACAACAGCTACCCAGGTAATATTGTAGTCTTTTCCACGTAGTTCTGGTTCAATTGTAAGCCTGCATAAGGTGATAATACTCCAACGCAGATCTACTTACATTTGGACTAGAGGAATTTGTCAGATCGCTGTATTGAAAGAGGGGGAGAAAGTTGAGGGTGATGGGATAAAATGTGTTATATGTGAAAAAATTTTGATAGAACAGGAAGGTGACGTTTCCATAGCGTATGGCGCAGTAAAAAAAATGTTATGTGAAACGCGATATTTCTTTAATATTAACAATCGTTATGAGCTAAGATAATATTATACGACATTAGTAGGCTTCGCTATATAACTGCCCAATTGAGGACGTTTCATAAGATTCCAATAGTATTTGCGGCAACCCATTACGAACAATAATATTCTCAGTCTGAAAGTTTCGATTAACAATTTACTCTTATTGGATTTGCAGCAACATAAATAGCAAACCACGTGCAATAATCCGTTTTAATACCGGTTGGAAAATCAAAGTCGGTGACTTATTAATGCTACTAGTTTCTTAGAATTAATAGAATCATTTATTTTCTACACTTTGGGGGTTTAAGCCGATATCAATTCACTTATGCGAAGAGGTCATGTATCAACTTTTACGACAATAATTATTCTCTTAAGGAGGAGTTTTTGAATGGTAACAAGCATTTAATTTTAGAAGTGTCTCTGTCATAAAGTCCGCAAAAAAAAAAACGCCTTGGAATATAAAAAAGTGGTGTTGGTGCTTATTGAGGAATTGTGGTTAGTTTAAAAGCCACGCTCGCTAGTTTGTTTCAATGAACATAGTAAAATTATTGGAACCAGAAGTGGCAAGCCACGCGATTTGCCTTGAAGGGATTTGGCGATGACTTTGCATTGCACCAAACCGTTATTTAGCGATAGAATTCTCCGCGAGACATTTTCTCCCCTGGATAACAAGACACAAAATCGATGTGACACGGAATGAATCCGTGACGATTTTAATAAATGCGAAAATGTGCAGACATAAATTGCATGCTAAAAGGCAGATGGAAGTTTCAACAAGATAATGATCCGAAACATACAAACTACGTGTATCTTGCCCAAGCCTTTCTTTGAGAGAATATGCCTGAAGTCATGGCTTGGCCGTCTAACAGCCCTGACCTAAATCCAATTGAAAATCTCTGGAGTATTATTAAAGGTAGTGTGTAGAGACAAATGCCAAAAAACCAGGATGAACTGGAGTGATTTATGGTAGAGGAATGGGAAATATATACTCTAATTAACTTAGTAAAGTCAATAAAACGGCGTTGTGAACTTGTAATTGAAAAGAATAAAATCACCTGGTTTTCAGCTTGTAATGATATGGTTTTGTTCACCGGTTGTGGCGTAATGAACAGTTTTGTCATTCCCAATTTTTTTTGTCCCACACTGTACCTACTAGGACAGAGTACAAGCATGCAGATGCATAGAATGAACATAAAGGGAGCATCACTGAAATGATTTGTAGTTTGTGTTCAGCTATAAATGACAAAATCAAATCAGGTAGCATTCTCAGCATTCTCCATATTGTAAACATGTAAATTTTCAATTCTCACCAACTCCGAATTTACCTTGAATTATGACATTGTTGCGTGTAAAATAGGGTGAGAACCGAGCTAAAAATTGGATGTCTGCATCTGTATATTGAATATTTCATATAAACTCGATTACTATAGACGAGTAATGCTTTGAGAACGTGTTGTTTACGGTATGTGAAAGCAAACGCCCACAGCAGTGCTCTTCTTTAATGGCTAGTAATATCGGTGATATATTCTATTCAGTATCCTGTAGACTAAACGTAATAGATATTACAAGTCACATGCAATAGCATAAAATTTAACATGTTTACAAAAACTAGAACGTGTGAAATAAAGAATGCTTTATAATAAAGTTGTGTTAGCCCTTATTCATAGTCAATTTAACCGCTTTTTAAGTGCCAGGTGAATTTAATTATAACAAGTTAATTTATTTGATTAAGTACAATATTACAATATTATGATACATTGCGATTATATTTGTAATTAATAACTAGCAGTTATTTGTTAACGTTGAATACACATAGATTACATCGCACATATTCCCTCTAACACGCAGGTTTTTGTTTTTGA